GTAGTGACCCCTATACCTAACATGAAACTGAATTAGATGTTGTATTAAATTTCCAGTGGTGTTACAGACGTGTTGGTCCCAGGATATCAGAGAGACAAGATGGGTGAGGTAATATCTTTTATTGGACCAATTTCTCTTGGTGAGAGAGACAAGCTTTTGACCTACACAGAGCTCTTTTTCAGGTCTGGGAAAGTTGGTCAGCATGTCACTACTAAATGCAAAATGGAACAGATTATTTAGCATAAGGATTTAACATGTTGCAAGAACCATTCAAGGTGAAGTGGGCAGTTAACACCTCTGGGGTGATAGGACAAAGGAGGACAGCTTGTTGTAATGAGTCATATTGTATGAAAATCATTTTGTGCACCTTAGATGAAAAATGTCAAAGTACAAAAACTCATCTGAGCTAAACTACAGGGGTAATTTAGGGAAATAAAAGTTTATAATAATACTTAAGAGAGCCTGTATATGTCATCTAGAAAGCCTGCAGCTTTAGGGCCTGATCCTGCGGACACACATCATCATTATCAGTAGAAAGAAAAGGAGTACTTGTGGCACCTTAGAGACTAACAAATTTATTAGCGCATAAGCTTTCGTGAGCTACAGCGGATGCATCCGATGAAGTGAGCTGTAGTTCACGAAAGCTTATGTTCTAATAAATTTGTTAGTCTCTAAGGTGTCACAAATCCTCCTGTTCTTTTTACGGATACAGCCTAACACGGCTGCTAATCTGAAACCTGTCATTATCAGTAGTAACACTGTGGTAATGCCTAGGAGTCTTGGCTAGACATGGGCCCCATCGTGCTAAGCATTGTTACAGTAAATGAGAGTCCTTGCGTCAAGGAGTTATCAATCTGAGACGTATGTGCGGAATTGTTTGCATGATCCAGGGTCTTAGCCCCGCCTACAACTTTTAATTTAGGATTTTTCTATGTAATTAAAATACCTTGTCTGGGACTTTCATTCACAAGCCTCGAGGGTGCAGGTAAAAATGGCATTATACTCAGGGGGACAAATCTACTCTGAGGAGGTGTTTAAGTATAACACCACCAGGTTTTTAGTTGTTTATTTTTAACTACCATTTAGTATGCTGTAGCTAGTAGTCTGTGGAAGTCAACATTAGCTAGTATAGTGCTGATTATGCTGTGGGCATAAAAAAGCTCAGAGAAATTCAGGTGGGCCACACATAACGAGTCACAGCTAAGGAGCCCAATAAAAAGCACCAGCTGGAACTGAACGTTCGCTGCTTGGCGCAACGGCCCATGGGGGAAGCTACCCTCCACTGAAGGCAGAGTGGGGCTTTGTTATTGATTCCCCTGGCAGCAGGCATTCACCCAGCCCTGCACTGGAGGTATCAAGGCTTCCTGCTGCTGCTACAGTCCCTGCAAAGCTCCCAGTGGGAGCAGACTTGGGCCCCGCACTACAGGGGGCGGCTGGCAGGGACAGGCACTGGGCTGGGCATCAGTACTAGAGCCCAGGGCCCCTTACCCAGAGCTCTCCCCAGGTCCAAATGAACCAGGTGCCTCCTGCCGCTGGCTAGGCTCCACAGTTGGATGAGCTCTGCCGAGACAGCTGCCACCTGTAGTCCCTGCGCCCAGCCAGGGCATTGTGACCTCAGCCAGCCAGGGTGGGATAGCGGGGGCTGGGAGTGCAGCTGTGCTGGGGAGATAACCCAGCAGGGCCTAGCCCCGAGCCCCAGAGAACGGGGCAGCAGCAGAACTAGGTAGCATTTGTGCCTGGGACTGACAACTGCCACTGTAACCCCAAAGAGCATCCGCTCTCTGCCTGTGACACACCGTCACCCCCTCCTCCACTGCTCAACCGATCGCACAACTTGTGCTACACCCTCAGCCAACAACCAAACTGGGCTGCACGGTCCTCCATCTAACAACGTCTGCACAGCACACTCCACTTACACGCAGCCTGCGCTACACCCCTAATGAACACCCAATCCGGGCTACACACACCGTTGCATCCAACAGCCTCTACTTCACACGCAATTCACACACAGCCTGCGCTATACCCCCTAATGAACACGCAATCTAGTCTGCGCACACACCCGCATCCAGTCTGTACTGCACCCCTCCCCCTCACAATCTGTGCACAGGGCTTAACAAGCACCTAATTTGTGCTACATCCACTTGCACCCAACAACACTCTGTACTGTACACCTCACTCACAGCCTGTGCTGCACCCTCGAACAAGCACACAACCTGTGCTACACACACCTGCATCCGTTACTACACTCACCAACACACCCAGAGTCTGTGCTTACACACACAAATAATTACACTTTCCTTGGCGGTAACCAGGAAGCAAAATATATCCTTCAACTGTGAGGAGGTCATTTTGATACATCTCCTGTCTGCTGTACGCCTCTTGATGGTTGACCAGATTGCTAGCTTGTGAAATATTATTTTCCAAATGCTGTTTCAAAGTACGACAGAAATGGTCATTATGGGTGAATTTTGTTAACTAATGGATTCTTTTTCAAATATCTTTATTGTATTTTAATACAGCTGGCGATTATCATCTACTTGAAGACAAAACAGAATGAAATGAAAAAAGAAAAGGAGTACTTGTGGCACCTTAGAGACTAACCGATTTATTTGAGCATGAGCTTTCGTGAGCTACAGCTCACTTCATCGGATGCATTCAGTGGAAAATACAGTGAGGACATTTATATACACACAGAACATGAAACAATGGGTGTTATCATACACACTGTAAGGAGAGTGATCACTTGAGATGGGCTATTACCAGCAGGAGAGCGGTGGGGGGGGAAAGAAAACCTTTTGTAGTGATAATCAAGGTGGGCCATTGCCAGCAGTTAACAGGAATGTCTGAGCAGCAGTGGGGGTTGGGGGGGGGGAATAAACATGGGGATATAGTTTTACTTTGTGTAATGACCCATCCACTCCCAGTCTCTATTCAAGCCTAAGTTAATTGTATCCAGTTTGCAAATTAATTCCAATTCAGCAGTCTCTCGTTGGAGTCTGTTTTTGAAGTCTTTTTGTTGTAATATTGTGACCTTTAGGTCTGTAATCGAGTGACCAGAGAGAATGAAATGAGTGATGGTCGCTTTCTGTGTTATCCACTGTTTCAAAGGTACAATCCCCTAGTATAAACAGAGAAATGAATTATAGCATAAATATTGCACAGACATAGTTCATCTATGTGAAGTGCAGCCTAAAGTGTTGAGAGTCCAATACATTTATTCAATATATCCTATAAAATGATCTGTTTGAGTTTAAAGAGCTCCATAAGCAAGGTTTAGAACAAATGCTTTGAAGTCCTCCGTTCACAAAAGCTTGAATGTCAACATTTCCGTTTTGACCCAGTTAATTTTATAACTAGACCAAGTGCAAACATCTACAATTTCCATGATCTATCTAATCCCAGTAAATTCTTACATGGACTCCATCACCAAAGCAGGTGACAGTGATTCTATAGAATCATTTAACATTAGTAGACACAATGCTCTGGGATTTACCCCTTTTACAACATTTGTGTGTTTTCTAGGTGTGTCAGTGAGGGGCTCTAGAGCCAATACTAAAATAATTGTGGGAAAGGACAACACTGTCATGTTCCTTTGAGGCGGTGAAAAGCTGAAGATGAATTATGTATACTGCTTACTAGTGCTGGTTGGGAATTTTCTATCAGAATGTTTTTTCAATGGAAAATGCAGTTTTCACAACATTTAAATTTCCTGTGAGAAAATTCTGATGTGCCTCAAAATATATTTTCCCCCTCATTTTGATCTGAATCAAAACATTTAATTTTGTGGAACTAAACATTTAATTTTGGGCCAGTTTGACATTAATCTGTGTTTGCCTCACCTGCTGCGCCTCGTGTCCATGCGCACTGACCTCTGTGGACTGAGCTTCTGGGCTGGACTACGTCTCCCAAGAGCTCTTAGGTCAGCTGCATCCCCATCCCCATCCTCCAGCATAAGAAGGAGTAAGTAGGCCTGGGGCAAACTGATGGGGTCAGAGGCAGGAGGAGATATGGTGGAGCCCCCACCGCTGTGGTTGTTCCTCTGTTGGTGTGAGCTCTATAAGGGAGTTTATCCTAACGGCAGTAGTTAGAATAGCTCCCTGCTGCTTTAACTTCCAATGGGGTTGGATGGCCAAAGGTAAGGGAGCTACAAACAGGTACCTGCAGCTGCCATTCTCCACTATGTCCGAGCACAACTCAGCCCTAATAGAGAATCAAAGGCTGTATCTTCTGTTATGGGAGCGCTAACTCATTTTTGTCGCCTTGTATAAATAGCATGATTTCAAACTTGTTTTGAAAATACAGCAAAAAAATTCAGATTGGTACAAAGAAACTTAATATTCAAAATATGTTCTGAGTTAATCAGCCTGAATCAAACCAGCAGACCTGAGCATTAGAATACTCAGACTCCAAATCAAGAACTGAATCACAATTTTGCAACTGGACCCTATCTTTAGAATAGTCCAAATCAAAACTGTAGCCACCGAATTTGGGTACAAATACAAATAGATACAAAGAGCCACTGAACATGGGGGATATTTATAATCCTGATCTGAATTCTGAGGCTTGAGGCCAACTCAAATTAATATCTTGAGGTTGTGTAATTAATGTACCTTAAAACATAGAAGCTGTGGCAATGTGCTTCTCTAATTGTGCTGCCAACCATTTCCCAGCTCTCTCTCATTGTTCATAATGTCTTTGCAGTATACAAGAGTGCATAATATGCTTTTTGGCATTACAAAGCCATTTATGCCTTAGCTATATCTAACAATATAGAGAGAGTTGGATCAACCAGCAGGAGTCTCCTAATAATCTACAACATATGTAAACTATGCCATCTTTGCTCTGTTGTGCACATTAAAAAATAAGCAAATGCAGGAGAAGTATATTTAAATCTATGCTAAAACCTGCTACTTTCTAAAAACATTTGCAATACTTTTTATAACAATTTTTCCATTAAAACCAAAGATGAACTGTAATAAAACACTCTATCACACAAAATCCAGAGCTTTATTGTATTTTATTGGACACTTTTGAAGACACAAGAGTACTCAGGTACAATCCTAACAAGTTGTGAACTTCTCCAAAGGTCGGTGAAATTTGAATTTATCTTGCACAGAGAGGTGAACAAGACCACGATGACTGATATTTTATAATATAGTTTAAGAATACTCCAAGCAGGTGAGTACTGTAATGTTATGCCCAACAACTTTTATGCCATTCATCCATTTAAGCCACTTTGTAGTATAAATATGCAGCTTATCTCAGCTATTAAATCTCTGCAATATGTAATTAGGCCTTCTCATAATAACGCATTCAATCTCCTGTATATAAAAATCGGTGTAAGAATACTGATACATGCTGTCTTTACCATCATTGTACATTCATCAGACTCAACCACAGCAAGCTACTAATTTCCAAACTAGAGCTAAGCAACTTTAGGTCAAACTCTCAAGTTGTCACCCAAGAAGAACTTCCATTGAAGTCACTGGGAGTTTTGCTTAAGGACTGGAGGGTTTGTTCGCTTAAAATAGCACAATGTAGTCTGAAATGCCTATTGATAAGTGTTCTGCGGGGAATTTGCTACAGAATACACTTGAATGTCTATTCCATAAACAACTCAATTAGAAACTTTTGTCTTATTGAAGTTCATACCAGTTTTACCAGCCTAACAGATGGTTCAATTTATGTTGTTAAAATGGGCTTCCATATGCCACTTATATTTTGAAGTTGTTTAAAAGGGCTACAAACTACAGTATTAGTTGCAGTGTAAGATTCTAGTTCTAATTCTAAAAGGCTAGACTTTCTATTTTGCGGGGGGGGGTGTTGGGGAGGTCAGGTCAAGGGAATGAATTGGGGACTGAGTGGTCGTTTGCTCAGCAATCCTCAGTTCTGGGAAAATAAGTTTTACAGTGCTCCTATTAGATTGCAGAGGAAGGTGGGGTGCAAACGTGTGGAAACTCTTCTCATTTCACAACAACAAAATCTTTTAAACAACAAAAAGCTTGGATCAAGTTTGAATCTTTTAAAAGGTGAATATAAAATGTGCAGAGAATCACTGTTGTTCAGGAGCTACATTTCTGAGGGGCTGCAGAGCTCCCTTCATTCACTGCTGACATGCTGAAAGCAACACTCACAAATAAAGGGACAAATTAATCCCAGCTGGATCTCCATTCAGTGGATATTGCATCCATGTAACAAGGCATTATTAGCCTTAATTCTGCACTGACTTAAGGCCATGTAAATATTTTAATATCAATGGAGTTCTGCAGGCTACAAGTCTATGCAGAATTGGACCCACATAATTTAACATTGGATGTAAGGATCTTAAACCTGCTTTTCTTTATGCAAGTCATATTTTGGCACTATTAGACAAAGTATTTGGCCAGATCCACAACTCATGCAGGCTGGCATAGCCTGGATCTGTCATGATACATAGCCTTCCCTAGGTAGGTGGGTAAGTACATGTCATATATCTGAAGTCTCAAGGCATAAGTTCTAAATTTTCACATATTTTACAGGAGAAGTCATTCATTATCATGATGCATTCTTGAAAATGAAATGGTGACCATTTGAAACAAGAAACAAAAACCCCAGCAACTGACTAGCATGTCTGTGTAGTATGCTCAACTGGTCTGACTTGCATTGCAGGAAGACGGTTGTGTTCTCTGACACACCAACACTGCTCTCCCATTATTATAAGATCAGCCTTCCACATTCCATATCTTACCATCTTTAAAAGCCTATAATTACAAAAGCTGAGTGAGAATCTGTGTTATTTAAAATTAACAGAGGAATGCAATCAACAGAGGCGAAGAGCATTTTTATACAAGAAAATAGCACTGTAGAAAGAAAGAGTCTGTACAGTATTTAAATATTGTATATACATAAAATTATATTGTTCATAACTCATCTTAAAGGTTCTCTTATTTGTAAACCAGGAAAGGCAACCAAAAGAAATCTTATATTTAACACTTTAAGCAGAGCAAGTAGCAGGAAACAATGCTAGCAAGCAGTTTGTAACTCTATAAGAAATACCTAGCCAGATAATGTTACTAGCATTTTCCAGTCCCTTTTTTATTTAATTCAGTACATTTTTTTCACATTCTACTAGGGAATTCTGCAAGAGAGAGACAAAGAATTCAAGGACAGAATATAAGGGCCCAATCCTGCACTCTTTTCTTAGGCAAAATCCCAATTAAGCAGTATCCTCAAGTAAGAAGTGCAGAATTGGGGCATAAATTACTAAAGTGATTGATAAAGCTTCCTTTTTCAAAAACCGTCAGTAATGGCTTCTATGGTTTTAACCTATGCTTAACTAAAGGAAAAGGGTTCCGGTAAATAATTAACCTTTCAATGTCTTGAAAGTGTAATACATTGCAGCAGGTGAAGGGGCAGCCTTGTTTAAAATAAAAATGATAAAAGTATTAAAAATATCAGTGTTTTTCAGCTGATGCTACAGGTTTGTCCAAGCCCTCAAGATTAGATGGGGGTCTGGATTTGAATCTGAGTTTCCCAGTTCATGGGGGATGCAGGGTTCCAGAACTGGCTGGTCCGTAGTTTTTTATAAAATGAAAACTGCCCTATCTGGAGCTGCGGTGCTCCAGTTGTGTGAGTGTTGGAAGACATCTTAGTAAAGCGGTACCATTTGGAAAGCATGGTGACACCACACGCGGTAGTGTATTCTGCCTGCATTACAGACAGACCCCTGAGCATGCGGTGAACTCTGGTGTCTGGCGGGCGCTCATTGATGACCTGGGGCTTTTGTTCTCTGTCTCCTACATTACTTACTGCCTCTGCAGCACACTTCCAAAATACATTTTGTTTAACTAAAATGTTTACTTTAAAATTTATAACATTATTGATCCAGAAAACTTTCCATTTTTCACTTGTATACGCTTCTGGGGAAGTCCTCAACTGAGCACTCTTCCAAAATGATAAACCAGGGGATTAACTTGTCAAAGAATGCAATAATAGATTTCAGATTAATACTGATAAAAAAAACCCTAAAATGGAAAGTTTCTTTGTTATCAGAGAATTTGCAAATCTAAACCAGGGTAACAGCTGTTCAGTTTTATAGAAATAAGAGCTTTAGAAATAAAGGCAGACATTTTCAAACCTCAGTACTTACTGTTAGGCTCCTAAATCCATACACAGGCACCTAACACAGAAGAGTCCTGATTATTTCAAATTGGTGAGTATTGTCCATTCCTAGTGAAGTTAGTGGGAGATGTGGGTGTCAGCATCTTTGAAAATCAGGTCTCTATTCCTTATGTGCCTAAATACAGATTTAGGAGCCCAACTTTAGGCATCCAGATTTGGAAAAATTTGGCCAAAATACCTAAAACAAATGAACACTGCAAAAAGTGATGTGTTCTCATAGTCAGAAGACAGTGCTGATCAAATAACCAATCCCCACAACAATCCTGCAGGTAAATTTTTGCAACCATTTTGGAATCTTCAGCTTAATCTTTAGCACCTGACAAGTTTATACTATTTAATAGAGGTGAGATTTTCAAATGCATCTAAGTGATTTAGGAACATTGACTTTCAATGGGACTTGTGCTCCTAAACCTCTTAGGACTTTTGAAAATCTCACTAGACCATTTAAGAGGCAAATAAACCTTGATATATCTCTACCTATTGGCTGTTCTTATCTAGCCTGCTGAAATTCAAGTGGATTGTGTCATATATGAAAGTCAGAAAATGGAACACTGAAATAATAAGTCTCGCAGATGGACCACGGTAGGAGGGGACTTTTAGTAATTTAAGAAATCAATACCAGCTTTGACACTCTTAGAAGTGGCAACATCAATGGCCATGGCTTTAATCTCAGTGTCCCCAAACTGCATTAGCGTTTTGATCTCCCTTCGAGTTGGCACCAAAGTATCAGTTCCTGTGAGATCCAGACGAAGAGTGCCACACTTTTTCACTCCGGGCTCAGTGATGAAACTGACATTATCTTCCTCTGAGCTGTAGATATTGATCACTATTACTAACTGGGAAGGCTTGGCAGGTGTGTAACTGCGTGACACTGTTTCTCCAAGAGCTACAGATTGGTCGGCTGAGATAAATTTGTCGAAGACGTCAGTGCACCAGCGTGTGCCATCTTTAACCAGCAGCTTCTCCGGCGGGTGCTTTCCTTCCATGAACCGATTCAGGACCCCCACCCCATAGGTCAGAGGGGAACGTCGCACTTTGATGACAGCGGGGTCTAAGCCAAAAAGGACAGCGCCTTTGAGGATAGTGAGGCCCACATCCTGAGGAATGATGATTCGACATTTTGAACCGAAAGCATTCTGGACAGCTTGTTGGAGTAAAGGGGCTTCGGCAAATCCACCCACCAGGAACAGAAACTTGACATTGGTTACTTCTGGCTTTTCAAACAAGTCACCTAAACAGAAAGACAAAGCCTGCTCAGCTAGGAAAACTTCCTAATGGCAAAACCGATTAGACCATGAAATAATCTTGCAAGAGACACGATGGGCGCACCATCACAAATATCCACACATAGGACCAGAAAGAAGGCATGTGTCTGGAATGGCTCCATAAACTCTGTGACACCTCCAAAGTGTCTTTTGTTCTGAAAGATTCTATTGTTTCGGGAGAGAAATGTCCTGTATTTAACATGGAGGATGTGCCTGAGGGGGCCCTCAAAACAGAAGAAAATTTTGAAGTAGTAGAGTCCAGATACACATTTTAAAACTTATTTTTCTCTTAAGCCATATTTTTATTTTTATTTTTTCTGCTAGATGAAAGCGGGCACATTTCTGTGCAAACCAATCCAACAGCCAGTCTGGGGGCAGAGAGGGAAGCCTGCTAGATGAAATATCCCCCATGAGCTCCTGACATCCAAGACAGCAGCCAGGTATTCCCAGGCATATGTTCCCTCTTTACTTAAACCCATGTTCTCTAGTTCTAGTCTATCCAAAAAACTCATATCTATTAAGTTTAATGTTACATTTACCTGTACCTAGTTTAAACGCTTCAATCATACTGTCTCAATTATCTGTCAAAACAAAATAATCCTAGTTCTCTCATTTTCTATTCATATATAAGCTATTTTGCTGCATTTATATTAGTTGCCTTATTATGCCGTGCTCTAATATAATTATGATTTTTTTCATATAGGATGCCCAAAATTGGACACTATATTCCAAATATTCTAATATATAATAGAAAGAAAGAAAGAAAGAAAGAAAGAAAGAAAGAAAGGATATTGACTATTAATTAGGTTTCAATCTTCTAATGATTTATATTCCTGAAAGCTCAAGAGGAAATAAAATGTATGCAGCTTTAGTACTGATTGCCTGGTCAACAGCTACAGAATAGCTAGAAATATCTATTAAGATACTAGCTGATTTGGAGCAATCCTGATAGTAATTTTTGGGGTAATTTGGGGGACTTAAATTCCTCACCCCCAATTTGTGGGGTCAAATTACCGCACTGAATGTAATTCCCAGTTTGGGGGCTGTGATAGATGAGTATTTGGATAAATCAAACTTCAATTTACGTCCAGTCACAGACTCATGACACCTTGATACATACTAAGATGTTGAATGATCTGGTCAATTGTAGGTTTGAAAAGGGCATTCATTGCATCTGGACTCATCCTTAGCATTCCTTGGGAGGACCACTTGACAAAATCCACGCTGCAACAAAAGAGCAAAGGAGGCTGTTAAAATGAGTTCTAATGTTAAGAGTAAGACAGTACTTGAGCAGTAGTACATGGCTGACAAGAAATTCACAGATTTACAGCCTCTACATTAAGTACGTCACTTGAGGTACGTCAAATGGCCAGCTATATCCCACAGCTGTGTCCCACTGGCTCCTGCAACCCACTGTATGAAGGGCATGCTGGGCCCAGGGTGTGTAAAGGGTGAAACTCTCTATGGAACTGCTACAGTTGGTGTGGGCTGCTTTAAATTACACCAGATGCTCTTGTGGTTTCTGGTCAGCCCAGAATCAGATAAATGGGAAGGTGACTCTTAGCCGCACTGAATATGGCCAGAAATACAGGAGACTGTCTCAGTGTGGAACCTTAGGAAATGGTGCCATATAAGTGAAGATGGTCTAATGGAACTTGCAGAAAGACGTCTACAGCAGGATGCAAGTGTTTCGGAAAAAACTCTTAAGAAAAGCTAGAATATAACTTTATTTTCTGGTAACTGTATCTGAGGCAGTATGATTTTCCCATCATTAGATTACATTTTCTCACTACAATCTATTATGCTACTTGTAATTAGGTTATTTTAATTATTATTCTTTCCAGCAGTGAGTAGTTAATTATGAATCTATCCAGGTTCAGTTGCCTACTTACTTGCTTTTCCTTAAAGCATGTTCCACGCTGTGACCTCGAAACTTCTTATAATAGTCAATGAAGGAGAAAGGCAGAGTGATATTCAGTGGATTGGTTCTGTCTGGGGCTGCTGCCCTTTTACGGGACTCAAACGCTATCATCAGATCCACCCAAGCAGCAGGACGCTTGATTTTAAATTGTTCAATAAAATCCTCTCCAAATATTTTACACAGGAGTTTTTCAAACTCGTAGTCCACGCCTACAGAACCATATGGCCCACCTGTGTTAGAAACAAAACATATCATTAACATATTGTGTTGCTAATTAGAATTTGAGCCCATCATATACAAATCCAGATCATACTGACATAGCTAAGCAGATGATAAAATGCAATGATCCAGAGCATGATAAGTGTATTTTCACTGTCAGGGAAACACTCTCTTGTATATGAGGAGATCAAGATGGAGCTTGTATTCATGAATAAGTTGCCCTGCTGCACAGAGAAAGACATATGCTGGGTTCCTCTTTGGTGACACTGAAGTCACCAAGGCTGAGAGTTCAGGACTCATACAGAAGAGGACCAACCCAGGATTGTTGGTCCCAGGTGCTATGACAACTAAGGGATTGTCTCAGGTAGCTAATGGCAAAGCTCAACTGGATCTGGAGTTGGGGATGGGAATGTAACTTGGGGAGTTGAATTTTACTTCCTGGCCATGGACCAATCACCATGTCATTTGATTTGAGATAGGGGCACACCTTTCTCATCAGGGTGATGGACCCATCTCAGTGCTCTACCTCTCGAACTTAATGGTGCATGTGTGATTCTACATGAATCTGCGGGAGAATACTGTTATCCTAACAAATCACTCGGTTAATAGCCTGGTGGGACTTTACAACAATCTTTTGTTCTGACTATTAGCCAGCCATATAGTGACCCCCTAAATGCCCAGGCAGGTCACCACAGTTTAGAGATGACCTATGAGAGATTAAATGAGAGGAGAGATGGCTAGCGTGTGAGTGATGGAAGTCAGACCAATGCTGGCGATGTTTTACTTTTCTCATAGTAAACATATACACAATATTATTTAACACTATCTACTGACTAGCAGTTCAGAAATCACATGAAATTAGCAAGACCTTTTGAAGACTGGTAGTAAGGGTGTAAGATCAAACTCCAAGTACTATACATTATTCACTACTCATTTCGCTTGTAATTTTACCAGTTGCCTTGTACAGTTCCTTCAGGTGTCCTTCAGGTAGCCTGATCTGATGGACAGTGAGATCCACTGTGCCTCCTCCACTGTCAACAACTATGTACCGGTCACCTATGAAGCAACAGGAACAAGCATACATCATTTTCATCGGCATCAACACAACAGTCTACTAATACTTAAGCAATATTAAATACTAATACTGCGGGCATCCCGAGCAGAAAGCCATGAACATGTGTACTGGGAACATCTGGCTTGAAAATTAGCAGTTCCTAATGGAATAATTTGCAGTGATTTATAATGGAAGTGAAACTTGTGTGCTACAGATTTAAGCACCCATGTGGGGAGAATGAATCTTTATGATAAGTGGAATTGTGCGTGCCATCGGTGTACATTCCATTGCGTGAACAGTTCTGCAGAAATGTTACAGTACCAGCTTACTTACGAGGTGTATTCTGAGGACATTATGCTCTGGCTTGTATTTTAAAATCTGGGTTCATCCTTTTTACAACCCATCAACTTAATAATATGTGCTTCTCTAGAGCATGCAAAATTCTCGCTCAGCCTTGTAGACTAAGAGCAGAGCATGCATTGTAATTTAAAGGAAAATACAGTCATTTTGAGAATACCAAAAGCACATAACAAATGTATGGGAAAGGTTTCTGGGTTTTTTGCCAGCAATATAAAACCAGCAAGAGCAAAGATAATTCACAAAAGGACGCTACCTTCTTCCAACTCGGACCAGATCTCTCCTATGACATTTTCCACCAAAAAGGTGCGGCTCTGCCGATTACGACGGATGTGTTCTTTAGCTAATCATTGACAGAGAGAAAATTACTAAGCATTAGAAAGCAGGAACAAGCTGATGACACACAGTGCAGGAAGCAAGCACAAGCAGAATGAGAGCTTTCTATGTATCATTCAATAAGGTTCTAACAAAACAGATGAACAAAAATTGCTGTACTAGAATTAGGAATTTACAAACTGAGTTCTGGAAAGAAAAATATCAGATATTCTATTCTTTACTTAGAATAATTGGATTTCAAATATTCCTCTAAGAATAATAGAAAGCTTTCTTTGTAATACATATTTATTATATTTTTAATTAACAAAATGAAATATTTACATACAGACATATTTTTTGGTTCTAGAAATGCCAAGATGCATTTTTGCCAGTAGGTGGCATAGTTGACGCATAATAAAATAATCAAGACTTGACTTTAAAACTGTCTAGGAATTGAAGGGACACTTTGGCCAAGATTTTCAAAAGTCTTTACTGATTTTGGGTGCCCCCATTTTTGGTTGCTAAAGATGAGATGCCTCAAGGGAGCCCAGTTTTTGGAGGGTAGGTGCTCAGTACCTTCTAAAAATTAGGACCCTTCAAAATATCTCCATTTGAGCACCCATAATCATTAGTTATTTCTGAAAATCTTGGCCTTTGTCAGGTTTGTGCTATGGACCTGGGTTGTAGGAGCAAATCCTGCTCATTTTACTCAGCCATACCTCCCACTGGATTCCAGTTAGACTTTTGCTTGATGGAGGACCTGTAGGATTTGGCCCATTACATATCTGCATATACCAGCATAGGTCAATTTAAATACATATGATTTAAAAATGAAGTCTAGTCTAGTAACACATAGTTATAGCAATAATGCATTTTATGAACATTAATCTCCACAAAGACATTTAAAATATGTAATGTGATTTGCTAAGTGTCTCACTAAAGTATTTCTAAACCCAGCTTGTGCAACTAAATGACTACTAAATCATTTCCAATGTAACTTTCACTCATCTATATGATACTACAGAAAAATGCAGACACATTCCATGGTATAGCAAATATTGTTTCATCTCAAAAAATTCTATCTAATATTAGAAAAAAAGGTACATTTATTGTATATAAGAAGACATTTATATTTTGCTAGCTAATGATAATACACTTCACATTTCTATAGTGTCTTCCATTTGAGGATATCAAGAGGATATCAAAAGCCAAAGAATAAAACCTCAGTTCTCCTGTGATGCAAGCAAATAATATTATCCTCATTTTACAAGTTGAGAAGCAGACACAGAAAGGTTAAGTGACACCGGAGTCAATAACAGAACAAGGGATCGAATCCAAGGAAGGGCCTGATCCAATACCCACTGAAGTCAATGGGAGCCTTTCCATTGATTTTAAAAGGCATTGGATCAGACCTGAGATACATTCCTTTAACCATTAGATTATGCTTCCTCTCCTAATGCAAATGTATCCTCAGTATTCTGAAGACTACAACCTTTGTTTTGACTACACAGCACTAAAATAGTCCTTGAAATGCTTCTTTCTGTTTATGTTTAAAGGATTTTCCTTCTTGACCTCTTCTCAGCTTTGCTTGGGTCCCTGCCATGCTTTTATTGAATTTTAGATAAAATCCCAAATTAATTCGTTCAACGCCTTGTTTCTATTAATTCTAACTGAATTAAATCCTTTTCGTCTATACCAGCTTTTACCTTATTAAGTAAAGAAAGATAACTGTAAAAAGACTTTTGACAGAATCCCATGACTTTGTGAACAGATTTTGCTCAACAGCCCAGCCCTGTAGCTCCCTTTAACCAAACAAGAAAATGTTTTCATTTGCATAGGGATAGATGCCCTGGCAGCCCAAGTAAGGGGTCACGGAAGGTCCTGAGCATGTGGCTCAGCTACACAGAGGATGGGGCAGAATGTGTGAACCCACACACAGGTTTGCACCCTATGTGCTGTAAGAACTGTGCTCTGCAGGGGCTACACCATTCTGAATAAGGATGGCAGCCAGAGGACAGGTGCAGAGGCAAGACCAATGCATTGACAAATACATGGTTGCACCAGCCAAAAATTGCTTGCTTAGGGGTGCACAGTTTCTCAGGCTCCAGCTGTGAAGAAGTTCTGTGATCTAGGCACAGGAGGGATGCTTCTGTCCTCCTGCCCATTAAGAGACATCCCTGAGCAAAGCCTCTTTATAGCTTTGTGCTAGGGTGAAAATTTTACCTGGGGTACTATTGAATAAACCTGCGTCAGGGTCTTTGTGGCATGGTCAGGGCTCAAATTGTGGTGGCTAAATATTATTTCACCTAGAGAAATAAGACATGCTATTTTATTAAAAGGACTCAATCAGTTTAATTAATTATGAAATTTCTGGGGGCAAACTGGGTCATCACATCCTGTCAACTAAAAAAAAATGGCTTCCATTAAGGACAGGGAGAAATAAAATGTCCCATCTTTACTGCCTAACTTCAGACTCAATCAGAATGACAGTTTTCAAAAACTTCTGCAGTGAAAGATGATCCATCTGCAAACCAGTTAAATTACACTCCATAGTCTGCCTCTCAGTGTAAACGAGTCTGCATCAAACCTACCATGGGAGCTAGTAAAAACTCAACATTCACAGAAACAATAGATAACACACCATGATATCTGAAGCACAATACTTAGTTTCTGTTCGAAGTTCAGAGAACATGCTATGCCGTATCACGTAGCACAGTTTTGCTAACTACTGGTGAATGCTGACTATTTCATGGTGACCAATGTAATTGTGAACCAAAAATCACCAAGTGCCCAACTTTTGACAAAAATTCCAGAAACATTAAAGGTCTGATGGCAAATTCAAGTGTAATCCCTTGTTAAATTAATATAGCTAGTTTAACACATCATGGTTGGCTCACAAAAATAAAGTTAAATCTGCACTAGGAAACAATTAGCTATTACATTAAAACAGTAAGGTCCCAATCCTGCAAACACTATGCCTTTGCTTAACTTCAAACCTGTGAGTAGTCCCTCATGTCCCAATAAAGTCAATCGTGCTACCTGCATGCTTAAAGTTAAGCATTGAGCACAAGCGTTTGCAGGATCAGTGCCCAAAATAGTCAAATTAAAGTAAATAGAGAAGTTTTTCTATACTAGCCTGTAATGTTCCACTAACACAAAGAGGCAATGATAATCTACAGGAAATGGTAAGAAAACTGCCCTAATGACCAAATCTAAAGTAGCCGAAAGGTACTAGATCTCAAGTCAGTTAGTAGAAGAGGTACCCTGTGTAAATCCAGCTCCTACGGTGTCACTAGCATTATAACCATTGACAGGTGCTTTGCTGCTCAGGTCTATCATCTGGTGAAGGCGGAGCTTTCTGCAGTAGATGGAAGCAGCCTCAGGTTCCAGGGCAATTATCAGCTGCTCGGGGTTTTCAGAAGTTGCCATTCCTGCCTGTGAAACAGAATCATGCAGAGAAGTGGGGTAGGAAAAAATGTAACCAGATAGTCTTCATCTCAGACTGGTTTGGTAGGTGAACAATGAACATTTAAACCAGCTCTGCATTTTTTTCTAAGTTAAATGCCACTAAAAAGCTGCTGAGCCATTGGCTAAGGATCTTGGCCTGCAAAAAATTATGTCTTCAGTTTTCACAAGTTTGCAGGTTGTAACTGGGGAAGATGCATGCACTTACCATGCTTAGTATCTAGTTAATGAGGTGAGCGCGTACAATAGGCAGAGAAAGAGAGCTAGAGAAGACAGTTGAAATCCAGGGTAAACTGTCTACAATCTCCACTCCTCTTAACCCAGCTAAATCTAAACTTCTCAAGAGTCCCAACCTTCTGTCAAGAAACGGAGAAATACCTTTGCCCTCCTTTCACTGTAACAATAAGATTAACGCATCACTCTTATTTTATATCCTATCACTACACAGAGCAAGTGGATAACACAATGGCTATTGTATCAGCCCAGCAAATTTTGTTCACATGTGTGGTGGGGCTGAAGAAATTTCCTCAGTAGCTCTTGCAGAAAGCCAGCAAGAGGAGTCCCCTGAAGTCACTGATCTGTATAATGCCCTTTGCCAGATATCCATCTTTTCACTTAGAGTTGAGTTTTTCTAATACCATCACCTTTACACACACCTATATTCTGCAATAGTTTTAAGATGCAGACTAAGTATTGCCAACCCATGCATTCAAAATCATATGTCAGGCCCGCAAAACATCATGAGACTGGCTTAAAAATCAAGAAAATTTTAAAACCAACATATTTACAGTTCTTTTTATTTGCTTTCTGGTTTGTGAGCCTTTAGGGGTCATGTTTTCAAGATTTTCTCTACAACTATAAGGGCTACAAACTTACTTCTGCCCCTCCCCACGAAACCTAAGATTCTCATGTAATCACATGACTCCAAGAGTTGGGGCTTTAAGAAAAATTCCAAATATCACAAAAGGTGGCAAGTGTGCTTTTGTCTTACTTTTCTTTTCTCCTACAAGCTCTGGTGTTTCCCCTGAGCTTCTGACTTTCTCTTATGACAGGCAACATTGACATTTCCAAGCTCCTACAGTTCCAACTCAAGTTGAGGTTTTCCTGCTAATGTTGTTTCTTGATAAACTGTGTTCCTTAATGCTAAAGCATGTTGGTAAAGAGGAGAATGGTTTTTTGATTTATTTGTTTTCATTGTCAGTCTCCCAGGCAACTTTTGGGTGCTTTGATTCATGCACAGACACTGTCACTGCATGAGAGCTTTCCAAAAAAAAAGAAAAAAAGAAAAAGGCACAACAATTACCTAAGATGTGAACAAGCCTTTAAAATACAAAACAAACAAACAAAAGTGGATCAGATGGAAAAACAGCTGACCTGCATTGGAACCCCAAATAGTTCACATAGTTACACTTTGCACAATAGTAATAAGACAACTGCTGGTTGTACATGCTGGGAAATAACTTGTTTGTATGAGAAGGTATAAGTGAAAGTAAAGCTTGTTCATAAGCCAATGCTCAGGCCAGACTGCTCAGCACAACAAAAGTGATTGTTTGACCATTTGTCTTCTCATCACCTTGTTCTTTTCCTCTCACTTGTAACAACCATAAGAGGCCTGTACTTCCAACAAAAGCATCACTCTCCCCACCACTACTGGGAAGGGTGAAATGGAGAAATTGTATGGTAAGTAAATTCCCACTCCATGGCATGGGAGTAAATTTACAAAGGTTGTTCATTGGTTTGAAAGCACATGAACCATAAAAGCTTTGCGGACTGTGCTCAGTTCACTACGGGCCAGGTTTGGATACCTTTACTCACACTGGGCAGCATTTTACGCCACGAGTAGTCTCACTGAACTCAGTGGGGCTATTTATAGAGTAAAGTACTGTCCAACATGAGTATGGGTGTCAAATCTGGACATCTATCTCACATTACATATTAAAAAAACTACATTAAAAGAAAGGAAATGATAAGCGTATAGTTGCCTACACAACCTCTCTGTTACACCCTTTTGTGTCCAACCTATGCACTGGAGTAGGCAAAGTTCCTGTGGAAAAAAGGTATGTGAAAAAATAGTAAGTGATAATATAATTAAAATCTATATCATAATGCAGACGCACAAATGGTCAGAATTAAGGTGGCATGTTCAACTGTCAATTAGGCATTTCCTAACATTTGAATGTGACTTTGCAACCAAAATAAATTTATTTTTATGTAGCTTTTTGTAGGCAAATTCTTAGGTTTATTTTTTTCTAAAAGAAAAAGGTAAAAACAAATTCTGTTATATGGAACTATAATAACCTCCTCCCCACTCCATGCATCACCAGCAAGATTTGAACCTGAACTTTCAGCATTGCAGCATAGACTTCTACTATTTGAGCTATAGGACTAACTACATTAGCAAGCAGCAGTAGTCTGTTATCTCCTGGGGGATGGGGATGGGTGGGCTGTTGATGCCATGTGTTGGATCCAGTGGGTAGTCAGGGAGAAGCCTGACCTGGGGCTTTCTCTCTCTCCGGCCCCCGTCAGCTGGAAGAGCGGCTCCTGCCCTTCGAGGGGAGACAGGATTCCGAGGTCACATACTGTGTCCCAGGGATGTGGCTGGTGACAATTCCAGATGGGTCTAGCTCTTTCCGCCACTCCTCCTGCTCCAGGAACTCCTAAGCATTCCCAGTACAATGTGTGTTGCAGCTGCTGCAGTGGCAGGGCCAGTGGCATGAGACCCGCTCTTTAGAATGCTTTGTGTCCAGCCATTTTGACATACTCAGAACGTTATCCTGGGGAACACATGCAGGAGAAGGTACATGGAAATTTTAAGTTGATAACTCAACTAAACCTAAATGGAATTTTGTGAGGCAAAGAAAAGGCATTTTTCTAACTCCAGGACTTTCTCCCTGCTGAATTTCAAAGGCCATTTGCAAACCATGGAGGTGTTAGTGTTTCTCAAAACAAGAAAGAAAGAAAGAAATGGCAAGAATTTTTAATCATGAAAAGTGGTATGCAACCAAAATCTAGGGGTTGATACCAGCTCTCCCAATAATATATTATACATGTTTGTCTCTATATAATGTACAGTGTGACACACACAAACACATGTATGTAGAGACAGAAAGCATGGACTTGTGGGGTGGAACGTGGTGCTGAAACTTCCCTTACTACAGCACCCTAAATATGACTGGTACAGACACATAAAAGACAATGTCATTATCCCATGAAGTTTATGATGTAAGTTGAGGGCACATGCACAAGGAGTGTGGTCATGCATTGGGCACAGGCGGTAAAGGGAAGAGCAGGACAAGGTCAACATGAATAAAAGAATATGGCTGCTGAAGATGGTAAGGCATGTGTCTCTGGGGCTGTGTGTAATTTCTGTCTTTGTGTCTTTCTTTCCGCCTTTTTTCATGCTCTCAAATATATGTGCACACATACAACTATTAAAAGGGGGAGATTTAGGTTTTAGTGGGCTGTAATACCCCAGGATGGGCCAGGAAAAGGGACCTGGTATTTGACTCTACGTAGATCAATCTGGAGATGCTATGGCTCTTACTCCAGCCTAGGCTATGGGGTACAGCACTGCAGCCTCACATCCTGACTCAAGATTGGAGGGGTGGATTTCCTTACCCCAGCCCACTCAGTTTGCATAAAGCTCAGCTACTTATGTAACATCAAGGAAGCAGACCGGTGTTCCCTCTACAATATAAATACATAAAAGCCAAGCCAATCTATCCCAACTCAAGGACAACGGTAGTTTGTGTCTTAATGACCACTGGATTTATCTCGAAGACTTAACATAGATTATTTTCTATACTGAGCATCTCATTTCTGAAAATTAATGAGTGTGGACCACGCTAGATTGTAACCTTTCAGGATGTGGCCATGGATTCTGCTTTTATTCTCTGTGTAGAGCGCACAGAAACCATGATGCATCATGCAAATATTTAACAATAATTAGCCAGGCAGTCTTTGATGAGTAGCCTACCTGAAGGTACAACTCTCAGTGCATGCAGGTATAACTTCCTTTTGGGCTCAGGAGACCTTGCTAGCTATGGGGCAGGGCAGCTACTTTTCTTGAAAAATGACACACGGTATGTCTGGAAAATGGTGACATGCTTAAACACCAGGTAACACCAAGTGAACAGGGGGTTCTAGCCATAAAAATGGATAATTCATTTAGTACTGAGCCATCAGCAGTGCTGCACTGCTGGTTTTTGTACTAGCACTGGTATTTCTTATTTTGTGAATGTCATTCCAGTAAGGAGGAGCCTCTGCATGCCACTGCCTCTCTCCCATTCAGCTGTGCACGCTCTGTCTCCAAAGGATCTCTGGATGCTCCAACACCTAGTCTTAGGATTGCAGAAGCAGCCCAAGATCCATTGTGCACTGTAGCATGGACAACTGATTGGGGGCAAGGAGTTGGTTCGCTGATACAGATGAGGCCTTAGCTTGGCAAGCTGGCTCTGTTGCCTGTAGAAGCTGGGACCACTGGAGCGCATCACTCCTACAACATTGCTAGTGATAGTTAGTTAGTTAGAAATAATTTCTAGTGACTGACAAACATTTCCAGATTGGTCTAGCTCTTGGCCGGCTTGGAAAGCGTTCGACTGGCTCCAAATTAACAAACATTTAGGTCTGGATTCTACCTCAATATAGCGATGCTCTGAGTAGTTCCAGAGACCTAAATAGTCCTTAGTCATTTGAAATGCAGAATTATCATCGTCACAGTGTTCTCAAGAACACTTGTCAGCAAGTTAAGGAAGTATGGGCTGGATGAATGCACTACAAGGTGGGTAGAAAGCTGGCTAGATTGTCGGGCTCAATGGGTAGTTATCAATGGCTCCATGTCTAGTTGGCAGCCGGTATCAAGTGGAGTGCCCCAAGGGTCGGTCCTGGGGCCGGTTTTGTTCAATATCTTCATAAATGATCTGGAGGATGGTGTGGATTGCACTCTCAGCAAATTTGCGGATGATACTAAA